CATAGCCACAATAATCCAAAGCTTAACCATCTTTGTCTTAAATTGAGCCTCTAGAACTAGCCAAGCATTTCCAAAGCTGTCACTTGATTCAATGGGGYCTTCATTTCAATTTGGCCAATTTGTAGCCTTCATACACTCACAATGAGGACATTGTTTCCCTTAAGTTTGGGGGAAGGTCCTAAAAGTACCAAACACTTTATARAGTTCATGATATATATGCATTAAGACCAAAAGACAAACAAAGGAACATAGTTTCATGTCTTGTGCATACAAAAGAGTGTATGAGTACACCAGAATGTTTGAAAAGGACCAAAGTGTCCAAAATACCTCAGTATGAGATGCATAGCAGTAAAATTGTGCTTTGGAGTGAAAAAAAAGTGAGAAGAGGTAAAAGGCATGCATTGAAAAGAAAAAGCCAAATGCAAAACTCAATTCAAAGTCCCAATCTATCTGTTGAATCTAGTATAGCAAAAGAAATGTAGGCTAGCTTATGGTTTGGTCATCTTTCATCACATGATCTCTGATAAAGTGATACCGAATATCAATATGCTTCGTACTAGAGTGAAGAACTGGATTGTTGGCAATAGCAATGGCACTTGAATTGTCACAGAAAATAGAAATTTCTGTGAACAATTGATCGTAATCAGCTAACTGATTTTTCATCCACAAGACTTATGCACAACAGCTACCTGCAGCAACATACTCAGCTTCAGCTGTTGAGGTGGACACAGAGTGTTGTTTCTTGCTAGTCCAACTGACTAACTTTCCACCCAACAACTGACATCTACCAGTTGTACTCTTTCTATCAAGTTTACATCATGCATAATCAGAATCTGAAAAACCTGTTAGATCAAAACCTGAGTCTTTGGGATACCAAAGACCCAGATTGGGAGTACCTTTCAGGTACCTGAAAATGCGTTTAACGACTGCCAAGTGAGATTCCTTTGGATTCGCTTGGTATCTTGCACATAGACACGTGGAGAACATAATATCCGGTCGGCTAGCAGTAAGATAAAGTAAGGACCCGATCATTCCCCTATAACTGGTCACATTTACCGATTTGCCATCAGGGTCTACATTCAGTTTCAAGAGGGGTGCCATTGGAGTTTTCATGGAAGAACACTCATTAAAATCAAATTTCTTTAAAAGATCTTTAACATATTTGCTTTGATTTATAAAGATTCCTTTGTCGGATTGCTTAAGTTGCAAACCCAAGAAAAATGTGAGCTCACCCACATACTCATTTCATATTTACTTTGCATGAGTGATAAGTGTTAATTTATTAACCTTATTA